ACCGCCGCGACTACTTGCCAGTGAATTTCAGAAAGTACAAACCGCGTCGGACCTCCCAAAATCAGTGAATGAAACGGTTGAGTACCCGGAAAAGGGTTTCGAATAGTAAATGGTATATAAACTCTGGCTATAAAAGCTATGAAGGCAGGGCCCTTTTTGACTCGACCCCACGCACATGAGTTCATCGATACGTTACAGACCAATACAGTATACTTTTATATGAGAGAACTAAGCCCAGCTATCGTCGAGTGTAAATGAAAAGGATCAGTCCAACCTCACCCGAGCCGTCATTGCTTTCATTTCCGTCTGCCACTGTACCAAAGTATCGTATCTGCCCTGCTCGGCCGCATGCAGCTGTCTACGAAGCTCTGCTACAAGCTTGCTGTTCTCAACCTGAGTCGACCTTTGCTCCACCCTACTGCAAGCTTGGTAGCTAGAGGAGTGAATTAAAGTCCTTCCGTCCTACGGCCGAGAGCTCTCACTCGGTCTCGAAAAATAAAATAGGAGCTTATCGAGAAATTTCCAATCGGAATGAAAAATAGCAATTGATTCTCTCCGAAATTTTGAAAAAAAATCCCCAAAAAATTGGCACTCAAACGAGGATGGCCCCACCCGATCAAGTCCACGGAGGAACTCCTTCACTGGCCAGGTGACTTCAAGCTCCTCAGGAGTCTGCGCTTCTCTCGTAGACTGCGGTGGATTCTTCCTGAGAATCTTCAGGTTGACGATGAAAGATACGGATTAGGTTCCCCCTACCGATCCAGCTCGGCCTGCAGTTCCTCTATAGCCTCATCGCGCTGTCGTAGAGCCTCTTTCTCTGCGAACTTACAACGCTGCATGTCAATGCCGACCTCAGCCAGTTGTCCTAAAGACTTGCACCTCACAACAAGACCTAACTACACCCCTCTAATGGTCGACGAGCCCTCACTGATATCGAGCGTGAGAGAAAAGCAAAACAACGTGTTAGTCCTTGCAGATACCACAAATGCTACTATACATTGCCACTTAGAGTTGCCGATTGTCGATTCCCCTACTCCTCAGTTCATGAACAGCTGCTTGGTGATCTACACACACAGTGGGTTTCGTATCCTTCTGCTGATGCTGTTCACGGAGGAACTGCAACTCGCGGCTCTCGAGCTCTGCAGCCACCTGCCTTGCACTGAGGATAAGATGCAGTGTTGTCAGATTCCTCACCACATTATGTGAATTCACACTCAGAGTAAAAGTATTCAAAAATCAAAATTTCCCCAGAAAATTCATACTGTCACTAGCCCACGTAGTTGTCCATGTTCACGACGACGGCAACCATCACTTCCTCCTCCAACAGCCTACCACTCCAGTTCCTTGGCAAGCCTCTCCACTTCTCCCATCAATGCCTCCTTTTCCTTCAATAGGTCTTCCCTCGAGTCCTCTTCTGTCTGCATCTGAAGCAGCGGTCATACTTTAGAGCACCGTTAGTGGTACCGACTCACCCCAACAGTCTCGACGGCGAGCCGCCTCTTCTTTTCAGCCGTCATCTCCGCTCGCAAAGTGCTCACTTCCTGGCGACTGCTTTTCAACTCTTCCCGAGACGATATCTCCGCATTTCGAACAGCTTCGAACTCTGTAGCAGCTGCATCGTTCAGTGCTTGTAAGCGACGAACCTCGACCAAACCAAAGTTACAATTTCATCTCGACACCACCCACTAGAGAGGTTGAATCTTCTTCCTCCATATGAACAATGTTTTACTCTAGCATGACAACAAAGAGCGACTTTAGATTCCTTTCCGTACACTTCGCGGGCATTTTGGAAAAACGAGAAAGATACTTGGCCGTTATAAAGGATAAGTCACTGGAGCGCCACCTGTAGTACTCACCTCAGACTGCAGACGAGCAGACTCTGTGAGCAGTGACTCGAACCTAGTCTGCATGGCAACCTGATAGCAGTGAAGTCGGTTAGCAGTGTCGGGGGAAATATGCACATGGTCAACTACATGTGCCGGTGACAATACAAAAATTGTGAGTACATATCGGGAAATTCAACGTGGGTTTCTGTGCACTTTCATTCGAATTAGCTCTGACAACTCCTGAGCTCAGCTAAGGAAACCATACATATATTCCAACACTGCCAGCGAGCAGGCCAGGACGTGAGGGCTCTCACCTTCTCTTCAGTCAATGACGCTTTCTCCTCATCCCACTTCACTTTATCAGCAGTCATGGCCTCCTTCTCTTCCTTCAGTTTAGCGATCGTCTCGTCCTTGCTTTGTAGGACCTGCAATTCTACAACGCTCAATCAGGGACCTCAAGGGCTTGCGATCACTCCTGGATGATTCCCGGTGCACCCGAGTCTGAATAAGCTGCTAAAAGACCTGGTCCCACCAGTAGAGCTGCTTCGCTCCGCCGACTATGCTCCAGTTTTTCAGCATGATAGTGCTGTATCGACACCGACGCTCTCTCCAACAGAACTTGGTCCCCAGTCGAGTTGCCATCAGAATGCTCAGTAGAGGGGCTCAATACAATTCCCTCTCTCTGCAGGGTCGAGACGTCTAGGAGAGACCCCTTCGCTGTAAGTAGAGCTCCACCCCAAGGAACAACCTCACCATCATCCTTCTGGAACAGCAGTTGCCGCAACTGATCTATCGTCGCGTCCGACTTGTCCCTCTCTCGAGCCAACGTTCCTAAGTAGAAGTAGCTGCGACGTGGTAGAAGAGCGTGGCTGGGACCTTCAAGTGCATCTGCCCTGTGCTTCGCAGCATCCCTCTCCTCCTCGCTGAGTATAATCCTCTGCTTGAGTGTATCTAGCTGCTCTCGTAGTAGCTCCTCTATGGTGTTCATATTGGTCATACCAGGAGAAAAACTCCCCGTATCTTCCTACCAACAAAGATAGGAAATAGGCCTTGAGACTTTGGGAGAAACATAGTCTACGTCTGCACTGCACTATCAACATGACATCTTTCCAAGTCTCTAAAGCGATGCGGAACAGTCTATTGAGCTCGACTACTGTAACATCCTGATGGACAGATATTAATGCACTAAACGTCTCTCGCGGCGTGGATATAAGATCTTCTAGTTGTGATACGTCGCGACCAAGCCGATAGTTCAGTGTGAGGATATATCTTAGCTTCTCCCAGCCGAGCTCAGGGGAATTTGCACACGACTGCGAGTAGGAGCGCACGAAAAACAACGACAATTCTCGGCGATTCTCTCGCACACTAGGTCGATACAATATCCTAGCCCGGCGTCCCACCATGCTTTCGATAGTGGAGCAGCGAGTATTCTATCCGATAAGCATACGAATCATACAGACAATAGACGGCTTGTGTTTCCCCTCCCCTCCTCCCCTCTCGGCAGCTCATTGATTCATATTAACAACAAAATCTTCAGTTTCTCAGAACAGTCATCAACTAGAGAGTAAATAGCATGCTTAGATACTCTTTGAGGCTGACCTCCGAGCTCACTCAACAGCGAAGGGACCAATCGAGCTTCTTACCATCGAAGTTTCCACTCAGCAAACACGGGCTTATCGCAGCTTCCCACTCAAAACTCATCAACTCATTGTGGAGTGACTCCACCACTTCGTGTATGGTAACACTCAATGGCCTGAGAGAGATCAAAATCACCCAGGCGGAGCGATGCAGATAATGCCATAATTATAGTATCTGATAGCATTGCCATCAGTTGAGCAGTCGAGCGGCACGATATTGATGGCGGGAATGATTGACGGTAGCGATATCATCCAGGACTTACTAGCTTGAACTTACAGTTGCCTGCTTTGGCGAAGCAGCTTCGCTCCGCTTACATGTAGCCTATGAGCCTATGGTTTCTCATACATGTAATCTGAGAAATTCTCATACTCAATGAGAATTGAATCGCCGTGTACCATTGCTGACAAGAGTCTGTTGGACAGGAATATGTGGATAGTATCCACTGGATACTGGTTCGGTGTATGGTGTAACAGACGTTTAATGGTAGAAATTCAGTGATAGTAGGATAGAGGGAATCACGTTCTGAGGGGAATGGGGGATGTGTTCGACAGTTCGTGAAAGGGTCATTCTCTAAATTGAAAACTCACTTTGAGAAAGTTATGCATCGCTCTCAAATCT